AGTATAAAAATTTATAATTTTATGATTTTACGATGCTTTATGACGAGTTGTGAGTACCCAATTGTATTGGCTTAAAAATTAAAATAAATTTCAAATTTGTAATTCTGCTTTTGGGAATAACAGTTGAAAATTTAAAAAATTGTATAAACTAAAAATATACTGTTTGCCGACTAGTGCTCTAGACTATCGAAGATGATGCCTCCAGACGTGCTCTAGTTCAAAATGATACAAGACAAAGTAGGCAAACGCCAAAATATACAAATTATAAAGAAATTTATTTTTTACATTTTTAATTTATACTTTTAAAATATTTTTGTTTCTAAATATTTTTTTATACTTTTTTTATTTATGTTTTATTTATTTTTTGTTGTTTAAATCGGGTATTTGGAATTACTTACATTGTTGAATTTTTAAGGACCAAAAACGGATTTTCTCTATTTACGGCAAAACTACGAGTGCTACAGAAAAAAGTTATATGGCAATGTTGAAGGTAATTAAAAGACCTATAACTCTTGCATTTAGACTTTTGTCACATATCCTCAAACTGTATGTGAAAAGTTCACATAGTCCAGTTTTTGTGATTATTTTTTTTTTTTCTTGTAAATTTTTTATTTTACTTTCATGAAATTTGGTGTAACTTATCTTTTTATGTACCAAACACGCGGTTTTTTAATTTAAAATTTATTTTTTTTTTCTCCTCATATTGAACTAACATCCAAAAAAAAACCGTGATTTAAAATAAAAAAAAAAAATCTCAAGTAAAAATTTCAGATTTTTTGAGAATGTGTGTATGCCTTCCGATGGGTTTCAATCTACTATGAATTTATTTTTGTTATATAATTTTCAAAGGTTTCAGCGCTGGTCTAAGTAAGAAAAATTTGTTTTTTTTCTAAATTTCACATTAGATGTGTTCCTTCGTGGCATTTTATACTCCTTAGATTGTAAAGTTGTCTCGATTTTATGTGTTATTTTGCAAATATTGTAAGCACTTTTGTGTAATAAAACTTATTGCCTCTAATATGTGTATGCTATTATTTTTAAAACCGAAGTTTTTTAATTTTTTGCCAAGTTGCTGTGGTTTAGTACACTGACTTTGCCTTTTGCGCGCCTATTTCGTTTCACCTAACAGCTAACACAGCGGTTAACATACATATATTATTTGTTACAAATAAACTCATTTAGCCAAGTTCTGAAATATATTATCATATTTGTATGTACAGCAGCATCAGTTGCAATGGTGAGGTCTGTCACACTGGCCCACCAACAGTTGCGAAAGTTGAGATGTCCGATCTAAAGAGCCAGGCGGAAGCTACATTGCCGGCACCCACGTTGCCAGTGGCAATAGAAAGCAAGGAGAGCGCTGAAAACATTAAACTAATCAACRRYTCACCAGSGGAGCAAGAGGAGAGTAAAGAACTGAGCACTGTAAAACCCCAAGCCATCGAACTTAAAATAATAACGAAAACTTTAATGCCAGTTGCTGAAGCGATTTAATAATGTGTTTATTTTGTTGTTGTTTTCTAAACTATTTTATGTGCGCACCCCAGGGTCTGTCTATTCTGTCTATTCATGTGTAACTGTGTACAATAATTCATACATATTAAGAAAGTAAATCGGCTATTGTTTGCCACACGTAACCAAAACGCTTAGAAGGGGAATTCTGGATGCTTTTCAAAGCTGTTGTAGGAAAGAAAGCCAAAAATAAAATATATTATTTCTAAATTTTGTATAATTATTTTCATAGGATTTACTCACCCTGGGAAAAATGAGAAATTCACCACACGTATATTTGCATCCAAGCTATTGAGCTGTTCCATTTCCTCCGCACTCAATTTGAAATCAAAGATATTCTTATTTTCAAACATGCGTTTAGGATTGGTACTCTTTGGTATAGCTGATATACCTTTTTGCACAATCCAACGTAGCAACACTTGTGCCYCACTTTTGCTATGGKTTTGCGCGATCTCTTTGACCACGGGCACTTCTAGCAAATCGGGTAAATCACGTTCCACGCCGGCCCGCTTATTCAAGGTACCCACACCTTTGGAGCCGAGTGGCGAGTAGGCGGTCACGGCAATATTTGCAGATTTACAAAACTCGATTAGTTCGGGTTGTTGCAAATAAATGTGRTATTCGATCTGCGGTAGTAATAATACAAAGTTTAGTTATAACATTAACATTATTTTAATTAAATGGATATAGACCTGCAAGACTGCCGGCTTGATGGTGCAGTTCTGAAGGATCCTGTCGATTTGTTTTATAGTAAAGTTTGAAATTCCAATCGATTTGGTTAGGCCTTTTGCGACCAGACCTTCCATTTCCTTTAAACCAAGATTAGATAATTATTTTTACATATATTCATAGACCTTTGCCTTGTGTAACTCACCTTCCAAATAGCTACGAGATCCGTGCTGGGATCAATAATTACGGTTCCATCTTCATGGTGCTTGAAAGCACCTTTCTCGTCTACAACCACAGTTATGGGCGTGTGTATTAAGTATAAATCGACATAATCTAGCTGCAGATCCGCAAGCGATTTTCGCAATGTCAGTTCAACTAGATCGGGTCTGTCGGCACCTGTCGGGTGAACGAGACCACTTTGTAGATCCTGAATTGATAAACTACACATATACAATGATTAAATACCTGGTGCTGGTAACTTGGTAGTGATGAATAAATCGGATCGCTTTATTTTTCCCGAAGAAAACCACTTGGCTAACACGTTCCCAATGGCCTTTTCATTTAAATATACCGGTGCTGTATCAATATGACGGTAGCCCACCTTGAGCGCTTCATTTACAGCAGTAATGATTTCTTCCTCACTAGCCTATGTAAGAAATTGTAAAGCAAAAATTTACGCGTTATTGCAAAATCTAAGAAATTTTATGGTCATGATAATCCTAAGGGCTGGAGTTCATAATGGTACATACCATACTTTCCAGTATTGGAAGACGTTTTTTSGTGTTTTATGAACTTACGAGTATATTTTAGGTTATAGACTCATTAATTCTCATTACGTCATTTTSCTTTATATGCGTTATATTTTTCTCAAAATTTTTTGGATATACATATAAGAAAAAAACCACAAAATTAAGGGCACGTAGTTCCGACAAAGGTCTATAACGATTTTATCACTTAATTATGTATAATGAGGCTAGAGGAAGGTCTGAGCTGATTTCATTTACTTCCTACAAAGTATGCTCCAGGTTTATAAGATTAAGATTTGRATATTTTTTGACCGATATGGAAAATCATAATCTTTAAATGGGGGTTACATTAATATGGTTTGATCGATTCCTCTCAGTTTCTTCACCAAACGATGGTATACCTAAGAATGTAAGTTCACTTAGGATATGTTACATATTGGCCGATATATATGGTAAAAAGTCAACCTGCATTTTGATAATCATTATGTTAGGAGGAGACTAAAGTATTGACCAGATTTTATCCATATTGGTTTCAAAGGTGAAATCTGAATTTAATTCCGATATCTTACAGATTGACACATTCGTCAATCGGTAATAGGTCAACCATAGACACTGAGTAGACGGTATTACAGCCCTTGAAAATTTACTATGCGATTCCAACAACTTCGAGATGAAAWGCGCCACACTTTGAAGGCRCTATTTGGAAAAAGATTTTCCCGATACCTTCATTGGTGTATGATTTATATACTAAACGGTAAAAGAATCAGATGRAATTTAAACCGCTGTTACATGGGCTATATGTATGACAAGGCAAGATTGTGCACCGCATTTAGTTGTAATTGACAGAGTARTTTCTGAGATATTGGATTTCACCTCAAAGTCTGTCGATTTACCTATAGCGAATGGGCTCAGCCTATTTCCCACGTTTTAATTACATATGCCCCAACAACTTTGCTATTCACTTTTATGGTTAAATTTTGACGAAGAAGAGATTCAAGAGCTGACATTTCATCCAGAAAAAACAACGGTTGGGTATGATTTGTGGGCCGGCGGAATTATCGGTCCATATTTCTTCAAAAGTGATGCCGGTGAGAACGTAGCCGTCAATGGTGACCATTATCGCGCCATAAAAACCGACTATTTGATGYTTTAAATTGAAACCCTTGATCTCGGTGACATTTGGTTTCAACAAGACGGCGCCACCTCTCACACATCGCTTCAATCAATAGACTTATTAAGAGAACACTTCGGTGAGCAGATAATTTCACGTTTTGGGCCATTCGATTGGCCACCAAGATCGTGTGATATCACATTTTGCTTGTAGGRATATGTAAAGTCTAAAGTYTAGGCAGACAATCCTACTGCGATTCAGACTTTGGAACAAAATATCATGCGTATCATTCRCCAGTTGCCAGTCGAAATGCTCGAACGAGTCATCGAAAATTAGACTCAATGCRTGGACAATCTGAGACCTAGCCGCGTCCAACATTTGAAAGAGATAATCTTCAAAAATTAAATGGCAATGATAGTAAAAATTCTCCATTAAATTACAAACCTCTGTATTTTTTTCTTTAAAAAAGTAGAGAACTTTGAAATGGATCACATGGCCCAGAAGTACGATAAAATTAGTAGTAGTCGCTAAGGTTAGAAGTGTTTTTAGGGGTTGTACCTTGAATCTGTGCGGTAAAATTTTCAGATGAATTTAGTTAGCTGTATACTCATACAATATGAAAGTTCGATTTTTGAATCTTGAAATAAAATTTATTCAATAAAAAGATTCTCTTAAAAAATTGTGTAGTTAAGACTTTCAGTATCTGCTGCGTACTCTCCAGCTCATCTAAGTTATGARGTGACTCAAGTAGTTTCAAATTATTTGAAATTCTCTATTCACATAAGAGCTTTATAGTTCTTTTGAGTTCTGTGTGTCTTTCCATTAATCTGAGTACTCATTATAGATGAATTTTATGATGTGATTTTGTCGAATCTTTTGACATGCGCTCTTGGGGTACTCTGAGTAGTGATATATACTATATATCATTGTACAGAGCATAACTATTAAATTCAATTTATTCATAAGTGCACCTGTTGCATAAAAACTGCATTTGAATGTAGGATAAGCAGTTTTAAACTTGTTTTTGCTTGTTCATGCTTATCGAAGATACTAAATCTTCTATACTTTTAAAATAAATATATGTAAATAAATACGCGTAGTCATTGTCCCGGTTAGCGTTTTGGTATTTAAAGCCACTCGAAAGTCATGGCTTGGGCACGTTTTCATTACGGCAAGTCAAATAGATTGCAACAAAGCATTTCAACTGCCGCTTTCATGGATTTTCTTGCTTTGTTTTGTTTAAAAAATCTGACTCAGCATCCAAAACTCTTTTGGTACATACGCTGTGTATACCTTTAGACATACTCAGTGAAAGCTGTAATTTATTGACAAAAAAAGTGTAAACAAAAACCACTAACCGGTTTTAAAAGTGAACAACTAATGTCTTTAATACACGTGACATGTTTGTTGCTATTTAATTAAAATATGAGAACATTTACTTCTAAGCCAATATACCCTGAACAGGGGTATATTAAGTTTGCCAAAACTTTTGTAAAAAGCCAAAAGGAAACGTCATAGAGCTTGAGTTTTGGTTATAAAATGGTTATATATTGATTATATCTGTCAACGGAAACCGAAAATTGTATGCTACATTGCATATCTGATATGATGTAGTGAATAAGCAATATAAGCAATATAAAACTCAATTTCGATATTTTTGATGATACGTTGTTTTGCATTTTAGGTGRCGATATACAACTGACCGTCTGTCTGTACATCTACAAATAAGTTCTTTAATGCTTAAGATATCTGAAATTTTGCTCGCATCCTTTTCGCTTCAAGAAGTTATTCATTTCTCGGAACGCCTATATCATATACCTGCCATACAAACACGATCGGAATTAAGTCTTTGTAGRCAAAACTTTTTTATTTGACAATTTGCATGAAATGTGGCGTGGATTATTGTCTAAAACATTTGTAGAATTTAAGCAAAATTTTTTTAGATCGGATCACTATAGCGTATAGCTACCATACAAACGTACCGAAAGTCAAGTTTTTGTATGAAATCTTTTGTATTTGATAAAGGTAGTATAGCTTCGGTGTAACTGAGGTTAACGTTTCTTCATGTTTCATCTGTTTGCTCAATGCAACAATTATAAAGTTATTTATATATTTCTTTGGTATTTATTATAAATTATAAATATATTTATACATATATTGGTTTAGTAAAGTATATAAAGTAAGTTTAGTAATTTTCTTAGGGAAGTTTTCGCTATAAAAAAGAGAAGTCAGCAGATCGTTTCGGTAAGACACTTTTGCCCTTATAGAATGTATACATATGTAAATGATTGGCGTGACGGGCTGAGCTGATTTAGCCATGACCGTTAGTTTTTCCCTCAGTTTTTGAGATATTGAACTGAAATGTGTACATCACATGAACTTTTTTCCCGCAAAAGCTGTTCTTTTGTCGGAACTGTCGTTATGAAACCAACAGCAGCTATATGTTTATCACTGAATAATAAAAATCAAATTCTTGCATGGAATTTTTTTTTTTTTCTGAAAAGTTATAGACTTCTGTGTTAGCAAAGTTAATGTTTTTCGTTTGTGTTTTCAAACATCATATAACGGTTACAAGTTTTAGTAATTGTAAGGCAACTCAGCCGTTGTGTAGCATGGATTTTCTGTTGGCGTTGGGCGTATTTACTTGACTAGAACTAAAACATTAGACTTTCATCTGCTTTAATTTAAAATAAAGGGCGCGGCAGCTTTGCACTACTTTGACCAGCAATTATTTATTTTATAACAAGTTTCTGCTAGCAAGCAAACACACCCCTTTTAACAACTATGTATTTTCAGCTTCACTTAGAGCGGCAAAATTTTAAATTTCATATCGTCAACTAAAATGCAAAAGTTTACAGACGAAGAAAAAACGTTATAATAGAAAGCAATAATATTGGAAAAATTGAGTTTTGGTTATAAAATGGTTTTATATAATTGTTATATCTGTCAGCGGTAGCCGAACATTTTATGTTAACAACTCAATTTAGGTGACGATATAAAGCTTTATAAGCACATTTGTTTTTAAATTAAAAAATTTTCAGTTGCAACAATTCTTAGGAATATACTATAGCTAAACAATTTCTTTTGAAAAAATAAAATATTTATGTATATATGTATATATATTAAAATACATATTATATTTACCATCCAGGTGCCGTAACCAAGTATTGGCATCCGCAAGCCATTGTTCAAGTTCAAGTACTTTTGCTCGCTCATGTCTTGTAATTATCAGTAAATAAATTAAATAAATAAATTTGTATTATCTTTAATTGTAAATATCACCGCGCACAACAAACTTGACCGCGCCGAGTTCTACTCTACTCTGAATGCAACGAAAGAAAGCTGACTGTATGTCAACCAACGACACTTTTAGCCAACCGTTAAGCTTTATCGTCGTAAAAAATACTGGTTTTCACATACCTACAAGTATTAAGAAAGCCATTCATTTACTTTACTGCACTCGCTGCTCTTTAGCTCTTGTTTTATTAATTGCATTAATAATGGGAAATGTTTATTCTACCTCTCCTGGCAGCTTCGCAAGCGTTTAACAAGTTATTTACTATACGTATGACATTATATATACAAATATGTGTATATATAATTTATATATAAAAATGTATGATAAAATTAATAGTGTGGATGGAAAAGAAAAAATACCCAAAAATATTTAAAATATTTATTATACATAACTAAAAATTTTAAATCTAGACAATCCCAAAACAAATTATGCAGTGAACTTCAACTTGCAAATAATGACCTAATTTGTTGCGCCACTTCTCTGAGCGGTATGTTGTAGCTGAGATGTATTGTATGAAAAACTTAAGCTATTTTCTCTTTTAAAATGATGTGATCGATTTGGAGGTTTCCTACTTTTTTTTTTTTTTAAGAAAAACCACAGAAACATCAAATTTAATAGAGAATGCTTATTATCATTCGAAAGAAACTTCTTCGGCATTTATTTTTTGAAGATTACCTCTTTCAGTATGTAAGACTCACCCTAATGTTTATGTAATTGATTGTAATACATTTGATAATTCATGCAATATTGAACAATTAAAGTAATTTTGCAAGCAATTTGTGTTTTTTTTTTTTTTTTTTTTTTTTTTTTTTTTTTTTTTTTTTTTTTTTTTTTTTTTTTTTTTTTTTTTTTTTTTTTTTTTTTTTAAGTTCAATGGTGTGAATAATTTATGCCATTTTAGGCAGTGAGCCGATGAGCCGATGAGGGCAAAAATCAATTATAGGCATTTTAAAAATTCATAGTTTTTTGTTTCATACATAAACTTCGCTGGGGACGTGAACATGTGTCTAAAACGGAAGTCAATGTAAAATTAATACAGCTTTTATAAATTTATGAGTTAATGTGAGGCACCTTTACAGTAAATAAACTGAGCTCAACTTAATTCCTGAAAGCCGTTTTGATATTTAATGACCCTTTTTTATAGAATAACAATTAATTTTTTGTAATTAAATATATGAATATTACTAAAAATAACATTTTCAGATTATTTAAGCCAGCTTATCTTTATATATACACTCATAGATATACAATAAAAGTAAAATTCTGCATTTCAGGCTCGTATTTTAAGCTCTTAATTGAATAATAAGTTTTTCCACAGCAAGCGCCCGCATCAAATCAAAATTTCAGCTCTCACTTCACATTTGGATTATCTGATAAGCCGCGTAAGAGTATTTTAATTATTGCGGCCTTTTTGACAAACAATTTACTCTTAATTTTGTGGTAAATTTTTTTATTTCTTTAAAGTTCGCCAATTTTTTAAAAATTTGTGTAAAGCTGAAAACATAGTTACTCACTTTACTAGCAAGTCCTGTGTAAATTAAAATGCATTGCAGCCCGGAAATCTATCTTGAATAAGGTGAAACCGGATGTTGGCCTAGGTTGCCCGGCATTTTGCATCAAATGTGAATATGAATATATTTTGTTACACACAAATACTCCCAAATAAAATGGTCAGCCGTTACGGGTGTAAACTCTAACCTAAAAACCAATTCTACTACCGTAAATGAACTGTTTGCCTAAATACCCTACCAACAGTGGTTGACTTCGTATATTTTTTCGGTGAGCTCGTATATAGTATCACATACATATAAACATACTTATGCGCGTGTATATGAATATGAAATAATAGGATAATTAAATAATTTGCATAGCGATGAGCTTGAGCGCATCAAAAGTTTGAAATTGTAGCTTTCTATTTATGAAACAGCTGTCGTTGTGTTAACTAAATCAATTTCATATATTCTCCAGATTAAACGCGAAAAGCAAGTAATACGTAGCTTGAGATATTAACATATGTTCCCAAGGTCGCGTAATTTGGCTTTTTTTGAGTCCATTGAATTTTTAAGAGGTTATTGATTTATTCGTGCAAATTTTACAAAACTATAATCTGAAATGTAGGTCCTTTTATTTCAAGTGTTTTTTTTTTAAGTCTGCGAAATGTTTAAATTTGTTTCCTCTCTCTCATGTGCCGTTATATTGGGCAGTCGAAAAAGTCTTTTCGTATTTTGTCAATAGATGTCGTTGCAGTCGTATATCTCCAGTGTCATACCATATAGCGCTGGAAAGGTGAAATCTAAGAAACGGAATCAATTTCAGCGGGTTACTGTCATAGTTTAAGTATTGAAATATATTAGTTTATTGGACATTTCGTAAGATATTTAAAATAGCTTATAAATATTAAGCACAGGTGAAACCAGATCTACTCTTACACATTCCCAATTTACAGGTGCATCTCTCCCATTGTCCAGAGTCAAATATTCTGGAGTATGTTTACAATAAGAACTAACTTAGAAAACACACAGCTGCAAGTTTAGTATTTCAGAATATGACAGAAAACTATTTTCATTTACAAAATATGTGTGATATATTAAAATTATTGCAGAAAGTTGACAATTCTTTGCTCGCAGCGCCTATATAAGGGCGTAAATGGTATTAGCTTAGAGCTTTTCGTTTTCATTCAAAAATATTTAGCTTTGTTTATATCACAAGCTTTTTTTTGCAACACTTTGAATATGCCATTTCAAGTTGATACTGTTTCAAAGCAAATTATATTCAATAAACCATAAGGGAGGAGGCGTGGTTACGAACCGATTTCGCACTGTACTTTGAGATAGTATATATGTATAATAAAGGGAGATTCATTTCGAGGCAGAAATGGGTTTCATCGCTGAACAAAATATGGCTTGAAAACCTTGGAGCTTCAGCGGCTTCAGTTCTTGCACAAACTGTATGTTGTATTTAAGATTTCGTCGTAAAATGCACCAAGTCGTACCATACGTCAGTCCGAGTTGCTGCAGTCGGCGCCGAATCGACTCTGCACGGTCCTCGTGTACACTCTCAGCTACTGCTGTTATATTTTCCTCACTGCGTGCTGAATGTGATCTATTCGGTCGAATACTATCCAATAAGGAATGCACGGTCTCAAGATAGGTGATGGTGTTGCGAATAGTACGCTCAGTAGGCTGATTATGTTGAACATAATTGAAGGCAGCGCGCAAAACACATCCTTTACAGAACGTGAATTTTCGTAATAAAGTTGAACGATTTGTACTCGTTGTTCAGACGTAAGTCTTTATATGCTGTAATGCCAAACAATACTGAACAAAAATAACATGACAGCGTTGTGTCACGCTCATGTGTGATCTGTAAAAAAAAAAAAATATTGAAAAAATTACCTCTACTTGGATCACCCGTTTCATTAATTTACAATTATCAAAATTTTTATTAAATTTTTTTTGTATATTTTATTTTATATTATTGTATACCCAAAATAGATTTTATTAAAAAGGATATTGAGGATGATTTTCGATGCTGAAAAGAAATACAATAAGATTATTGAGAACAGCTTAAACCAATAAACGAATTTGGGAATATGACATGTTACTACAGGGTACGTCATCTTATTTATTTTACAGGCAAATTCTCGGACCTACGGCGTGCTCAAAGCAAATATTCGACCCGAAATCATAATTTCAAACCTACTCAATAGCAACATAAGTCGTTAAAAGATGACCCGCACTATATATATTGACTCACCCATTCAAGAAACCGAAGTCTACTGTACGTATGTTTCTGTCTAACGCATCCAGTTTTCTCATATCATGACTTCCGATGGAAAACTCAAATATACCCATAATTTCATGCATACGACCGGAGTTGTGCATTCGCAATAAAGCCGAGAGATGCTTATCTAAAATCCAACGCATAAGTATTTGTGATTCGGTCTTGTTATATTTTTTAGCGATCTCTTGCACTTCGGGCACTTCCAGCAAGCTCGGCAAACGCGTGCGTTTCGTCATATAATAATTGGAAGACAACATATCATGCGTGCCGAGTGAGGCAAATGATGTTATTGTAATATTATGCAACTGACAAAAGTTCAGTAATTCGGGTTGTTGTAAATATATGTGATATTCGATCTGAGACATGAATATAACCGTAAAGCAATATTAAATACGTGGGGTTTTTCGAATGAAGTGGCACACCTGTAGAACAGCTGGCGGAATACTGCAATTACATATTATATTGGTGATCTGTTTTTGGTTGAAATTAGCCAAACCAATTGACTTTGTCAGACCCTTTATGACCAGATCTTCCATTTGCTGCAAGTTACAACCAAAGATATTATCAATCAGGTTAACATAAATTGAAGAGAAATTTTTCTGGAGAGATATTTGTAAAATATAAATTTTTTTTTTCTAACAGTTAGTAATATAAAGAGACGAAGACACTATGGTCTCGGTTTAAACTTGTTGCACAAATTAAAGGGATCGTTCTTATCTTATAGAAATGAAGTATGTACGTACATTACCTTCCAAACAAGTATATGGTCCGTATTATCCAAGCAAACTAAGCCATCTTTTTGCCGTTTTATGACTTCGAAACTCTCGTCGTGCATTAAAGTAACAGGCAACTGTATCAGATATAGATCAACATATTCCAGCTGTAAGTTATTCAACGATTGTAGCATTGCAGTCTCCACAAATTCGGGTTTATTAGCTTAGCCCATAAAGTTATGGTGGAAAGTAAAAAAGGAAAATCACGAGAAATAAATTTAAATTCAAATTGAAAGTCTATAACTTATATGAACAGAGAGTTTTCAGTGTTAGATTTTGAAGAACAAAATATATAAAGTCACTAAAGCATATGAGATTTTTTAATAAAAGCAATCCTATGTGGAGGTTTTTATACCCATTCGTCTGTCTGTATCTACTACGTGAAATAGTCCCTCAATTTTTGAAATATCGATCTTAACTTTTTCTTTCCAAGAAACTACTCATTTGACATAACCGTCTATATTGGATCACTATAGAATATAGCTGG